CAAACTTACCCACCCGGCACACGCGGTGNTTACCCACCCGCCACACGCGCGGGTGTGGGTCAAACTTACCCACCCGCCAGACGCGGGGGTGTGGGTCGAACTTACCCACGCGGACTCACGTGTTGGTTAACAGTGTGCAGGTTAAACTAACTATAACTAACCTATACGGTTAGCTCGGAAGTGAATCGATTTGCTTTTTAACAATAAAGTTTATTGTTCAGTAACATATTTATGACTTATGAATCTAGAACACTCATCGCTAGCAAACACACTTCCATAGATCCCGTTGGTCATTTTTTTTTTAATTTAATAATATTAGTAATTTTGATTATTTATTTTCCATTCTATTTTCCATTTCGTGGTATTTTCAAATTCCTCCTCGACATCTCCGCAGCCATTAAGACGCCGGCAATTTGACCGTTACTCGAGTTAAAATTACAAGCTTTTTATTACGAATTAGGGCCGGCTGTTTGGCGGCCACTCAAGGACCGCGGATGATTCCTAACTATGGAGCGGCGCGTCAACATTTCAACGCATATATTCATCAAAAAACAAATGAACGTCCGTAGCGCTCCACCTTGACATCGGGCGGGGAAGGCGAGTCTCGTCGCACCTTTGTGCGTGTTATGGACGTGTTATGGACGTGTTATGGACGTGTTACGGACGTGTTATGGACGTGTTATGGACGTGATATGGACGTGTTACGGACGTGTTACGGACGTGTTATGGACATGTTATGAACGTGTTCTCGGAGTGCATGTTATAACCGTGCCATGGACGTGTTATAACCGTGCTATGGACGTGTTATGGACGTGTTATGGACGTGTTATGGACGTGTTATCGGAGTGCAAGTTATAACCGTATTATGGGAGAGTTATGGACGTGTTATCGGAGTGCAAGTTATAACCGTGTTATGGACGTGTTATCGGAGTACAAGTTATAACCGTTTTATGGACGTGTTATGGGCGTGTTATGGGCGTGTTATGGGCGTGTTATGGGCGTGTTATTGGAATGCAAGTTATAACCGTGTTATGAGCGTGTTATGGACATGTTATCGGATTGCAAGTTATAACCGTGTTATGGACGTGTTATGAACGTGTTGTGGACGTATTAGGGACGTGTTATGGGCGTGTAATGTGCGTGTTATCAGAGTGCAAGTTATAACCATGTTATGAGCGTTTTATGGACGTGTTACGGATGTGTTATGGACGTGTTATCGGATTGCAAGTTATAACCGTGTTATGGACGTACGTGTTATGGGCGTGTTATCGGAGTGCAACTTATGAGCGTGTGATGGGCGTGTTATGGGCGTGTTATGGGCGTGTTATGGATGTGTTATGGGCGTGTCATGGACGTGTTATGGACGTGATATGGGCGTGTTATTTGCGTATTATCGTAGTGCAATTTAATAGCGTGTAATGGTTGACTATGGCAGTGCTATCATGGTATGCATTTCAGGGCATAAGTTGCTTCTATTTGCTCAACATCAACGGGCAATGGTGCGGGTAAAACATGAATGATAGTGTGCATAGATTATTAAATGATATTGCACAGAAATTACTGTGCGATATTTCGTATAGATAGAGTACGAGAATGCGTATAAATAATTGTACATTTATAATATTTTGAATAAATAAAAGGCTAATATTAATGATGAAGTTTGGGTTGCAACGAGTCTTCACATGCAACGATCGAGACGCGTTGCAAATAACGCGTTACATGGGGCTTGTGAACTGTAACTAAAGGCAAGTAACCTAGCAGTTCAACCTAGCAAGTTAATTGAGCAAGTTAACCTAGATCTTATTTAGGCTGTTTAGCGGGATGACAAAATGTTACTGAAATTACCTTATAATATCATAAAAATGTATGATACGAATAACACCTTGATACATATCGCACGAATAACACTCTCTTACATTTGACACTTTCATACATTTGATACTTTCACACATTTCACACAAATAACACATGAGTAAAGCGAGCGACGGCACGACTGCTCAGCTGCCATGTACGGAAGGATGGACTGAGCAGAAAACATTCCTGCTGCTCACTCGAGCGATAATATCGCACACTATAATATTTTCGGACGATAACATAGCAATGGTGAATAAAAAATGTTTTTCTTATAAGAGGCTGTTTGTTATGAGCTTCCGTAAGGCGGCCATGACGGTACATGACGTTATAATATAGCGTTATAGGACGTTGTAATGTAACGTTGCCGTAGACGTTATAGGACGTTTTAATATGGCCTTGCCGCGGACGTTATAGGACGTTTTAATGTGGCGTTGCCGCGGACGTTATAGGACGTTTTAATATGGCGTTGCCGCTGACGTTATAGGACGTTTTAATATGGCGTTGCCGTGGACGTTATAGGACGTTTCAATATGGCGTTGCCGCTGACGTTATAGGACGTTTTAATATGGCGTTGCCGTGGACGTTATAGGACGTTTTAATTACACGTTGCAGAGCCCGCATCTGCGGCGACCACCGGGACTGATGTAAAAAATATAAAGATCCCAGTAAACAAGCCTATGTTTTTCTAAATGGTTTACCAATGTTTTTCTGGATGATTTGTCAGTGTTTTCCAGATGCTTTGTCGATTTCTTTCTCCATGTACAGTATACTTTGTCTATATTTTTCGAGAAACTTTGTCTATGGTATTGCAAGATTCATTGTCAATTTTTTTATATGCTTCCCAAGTTTTATCTAGATATTTTGTCTATTTTTTTAGATATTCTATAGCGACATTTAAAGGATTTCCGTGATTTAACACATTTAGAAATACACAAGGATAAAGCGCTTATAATTTCGTTCTGCAATCCAAATCCCAATTATCTAATCCACATCCATTTCAATTTACTACATCCCACATGATTTATGTATTGCATCCTACCGCCTTTACCGCATCCTATTCAATTGCTATATTTCACTCTATTTACTTTAATACATCCTACCTATTTTCCTACTCCTTACCTAGCCTCTGTGAAGAAACATTTGTCCAGAATTGAATACCGTCGCAGTTGCTTGGTCTGCACTCAGCTTACGGTCTCAATCAACACGTAATATTAATATAAATCCGCAATAATTTTTTAATACATCCTGATATTTCTGATATTAAAATTTCTAATTTTATTATTTCTGATTCCTAATTCTAAAATTTCTAAGTCCTGTTAAAATTCTGACCCGGGGCCTACGCATGCTGCGGCAGCCTAGTCCGATGGCTAAAAAATCCAATTACCGATCGATAAGATGAACCGATATTATGTAGAAGTAAAAAATCAATATTTAATTTTATGTACATATATATAACCGATAAAATTAAATAATAATGAAATGGCAAATTGATTGCGATAATATTAGACTACAGCATTACTTAGTTTAATATGAATAATTACCTATTAGATAGTTAACTGATAAGAAATTTGTTAGTACTGTTAGCTAACTCGTCGAATCTAGGGACGAAAAATTATTCATTAATTTTAAATTCGGAATAATTAAATAATTATAATGGGAGTAAAATTTTTGTTATATAATATCGGTCTCTAAAGACTATGTATGCAGTGAAACCCGTCATTGTTATTGTGAATTTCAAGTTCGCTAACAAAAATGTGATTTATTTTACTGCAATGAACCTCAAAAAAAGTATTTTGATGCTTCTCTTCCTCTTGCCTGTCGCATCTCATAACGGACGCTGTAGGAAAATAAGCTGCAGCGTAAGATACGAAGTAACATACGGTAGGCGTAAGATATGATAGACGTAAAATACGGTAGGCGTAAAATACGATGAACGTAAGATACGACAGGCGTAAGATACAATAAACGTAAGATACGGCAGGCGTAAGATACGTAACATACGATAAACGTAAGATCCGGCAGGCGTAAGATACGAGAAACGTAAGATACTGCAGGCGTAAGATACGAAGTAAGATAAGATAAACGTAAGATACAACAGTCGTAAGATACGAAGCACGATACATTTCATTTCAGGGAGGCGAGTTACGATGAGAAACGCTGTAGAGCAGCTGGCTGCATTCTCAGCCTCACGGCGAATTATGGTCGCGTTTTGGCCGGCGCTTCATTAGCGGATGGCTGGCCGACCATACGCCGCCTACACTCAGGGAAGCGAATGGGTCAAATACTCCAATTTGAGTAATGATTGTGTCACATTGTCCATTTAATTACACACTTAGTTTAATTATTACTGAAATGCTCTTTTTCCCGGTCCAAACTTTGCCAGAATGACCGAGTTTGGCACGTAGTGCCAAACTACATTACATTAGATGCCCTGTATACTGTAGATTTAATACATTAGATGCCCTGTATATTTTGCGCGTTGAGATACACAACGTTGAGATACGTTGAGATACAACGCATAATAACCTACACTGCCACGTTAAGCGCATCGCTCTTAGTAAAACGACTCACACATTTCTCCCAGTGTATAATGAAGCGTACAGCAGACCGCACGGTCGCCATATGGCGGATGATGGCAGCGATCAACCGCAAACTCAACCACCGCAACTTTGATGGTGAAAACAAGAGCCTGTTATCCTCATTGTTGCGAGAACTGCAATTGATCCATACGTATCTATTACGTGCCTACGTATACATTACGTGCCTACGTATCCATTACGTGTCTATGGATCCATTGCGTGCCTACGTATCCATAATTGGCTTACGTCGCAAAATGCGCTCAGGCAATTGCACTCAATAAATTAGATGGCGCGTAAGTTTTCCTCAATAAGACTTGAAATAAATAGCGATGATGGAACGCGATTAAATGAAAAAATCTCTTCAGAAAACTTTTTTTCGATTACTACTTTTATTCGTTGTACAGACCGCGTTAGGAAATATACAGGTATGCACGTGCAAACTGTGTTATACATACATTCAGCATATGCTCATACATACATACACTCATCCATACACCCATTTATCCAATAATACACTCATCCATCCATTCATTCACTCACATGGCAGTTCATTGAGTCCAGACAAATCTAAACAAATTCATATTCCAATAAAAGTAAACTAAATAAATAGAAATAAATCCCATTTTTGCAAACTGCAAGACTTAGCTTCGCCTGCCACTGACTCTCGTCGCAGTTCCTCACCTGAAAGAAAAAAATCAACATTAATAATAAGTGTGTAAATTCTTTATATCATTTTAAGGAAATAAAATCTATAATTGACAATTCTCACGTCAAGTTTGAAGATTATTATTCAGAATCATGATGCGTTACGAGTGAGTCACGCCTGCATACACTCCCCACACAGTATACAGGGGCGCCTGTATATTCTGTTGTGTTCAGGGGAGCAAGTACGTGTACTGTATAGTGTACATTGTATAGCGTATAGTGGGTAGCACTTGTATAGTTAATAAAGATAGAATATACTGTACACAAATGCAGACAGGACCGCTCAGTAATCAGTATTTGTACAGTGTACGGAGCATCTCAGTATGTGTACAGCATACATGTCTCAGTACGTGTACATATCACAAGGCATTTCAGTATGTGTGCAGTATACAAGGCATCTCGGTATGTGTACAGTATACATGTGTTGTGCTGATATTACGAGTACTCAGGCCTTATAATTATTTTATAGTTTGTGGCAGGTTAGTCAGGCACGTCTTCGATGATCCTTGCAATATCAGAATTTCTTCTGAATCCAGTCATCCAATCCTACACGATAAGTATCCTGGATACGCGCCCCAACAGCCCCTGTATACAATATCCTACACGATAAGTATCCTGGATACGCGCCCCAACAGCCCTTATATATTGCCACGCCGAGCACTTAACGCGCAAACTTCGCCAAATATTCAACAGATGTGAGAGCATCATAAAAAATACCCAATCAATTAAAAAGGTTCCTCCGCATATGAGGTAACCAGGAAATCAATTTTTGCTAAATTTATCAATTCCTTCAATAAAGTTGCGATATATGAATAAAGTGGCATTTATGAATATATTAACAACAAACAGGCTTGTTTGTATGTATATGCGGTGTTGTGTGCCGGTGTTTACCATGTGTTTGTCGTGTGTTTACCTCATGGTTGTCTGCGTAATTCATGGCGTTGTTTGAGCACAGGAATAACCGTCATTGAGGCACCGTGCACTCACGGTGATTACTTGAGGTCGTTGATATGCACAGCGTAATATCTTACCCTATTAGGAATCAGGGACGGCTTAAGGGCGACTGAGAAGCGGCTGGAGATCTTAATCTAATGGAAGGTGCATACAACTCATGTCTTCATGATATTTTTCCATTAGTCAGCAAATGGTCTAATGCTTGTTGATGAGTACGTTGACTCTATAATGGAGTCGGTCGAGTGGTGGCTAATGGTCAGGTAAAGTGATGAAATGATAACATTAGGATATTTCAGGATAAATGTTAATGATGTTAATCCCCGGATATCTCGGAATATAGGGTGTTGCCTGGTGGATATCTCACGATATCGGGTACTGACTAATAGATATCTCATGATAAATATGCCATTAATTAGAGATATCAGGATGCAGAATCCTAGAATGTTGCTAAATATCATAAAATATAAGATGCTGAAGGAAATTTCAGGACGTAGAATGCTGCTGAATATCGCAAGGTATACGATGCTTGTGGATATATCGAAATATAGGATGCTGCTTGACATCTCAAGATATAGGATACTGCCGGATATCTCAAGAAATAGGATATACAAATTAAGAACACTTGATTGCTCAAATCGCCAGTTTATCCAGAATTTAAAAGCAAAGAAAACAACTGAAAATTCACCATTTTCCATGCGAGAAAATGTTTCGGAGTCCAGCACCAGCGTCAGTTTAAAAGCCAAAAAAAAGTACAAACGATTAGCTGAGTTAAATCCTCATTGCAGATAATAAAACATAAATTGTCAAGTGAAAACCAATACGAGTGAGATAATCATGAGCAAATAAACCTACCCATTTACAATTTCGAGCGGATAGGAAATGTAGGCGGCATTTAGACTAGGCTTTCCTTTAAAAATATACAAGGACTTTAAATTCGCAGGTCAGAAAAACCGGTTGTGGTGGCTAAAATCCGAAAATCACTATCGGACACCGTCACGTTGCACTGCTCGTCATGAACGCGTACTGCTGAATGAGGGAGGTGCGCGCAAGCAGGCTTCCAGTTTTAAAATTCCTTCCTTCATGCTCTGCCAGCCTAATATGTCATACCGACATATGCATATGCGCACTGCGCACAACTATATTGATAAACTAGGGACGATCGCATAGGAACAGGAGTTTATCTTTATACATGAAAAAATAACTGATTTTAAAATTATTCACTAGCAATATAAAAATTAAATTTGGAAGGAATTTAGAGAACAAAACTCCCAACTCCTTATCCATAGTTTCCTGAAGCTGGACCAAAGTAAGGAAATAAACTATAACAGCATTCCTATTGCCATGTTCGGGAACAAACTCACAACAAAAATTTTTTATTTGAGTATATAGCAATCGCGACGGAAACCCATTTAGTGAAATGGTATTGCGTAAAAATTACATTTCGGAGTGCAGCACATGGAAAGTAGAGCATATACAAAAGCCGTGTTTTATTAACGTTTGAATCCAATTTAATTTGAAGCTAAAAGAACAAAAGCTAAAAACGCTGGTGCTTCAGCCGGTAAACGTGCAGATATAGAAGATGCTTCTGGATCTCTCAAGATATAGAATGCTGCTGATATTTCGGTATATAGGAGGCTGCTTGATATCTCAAGATATTGGATGCCGCAGGATTGAGATCTCATCCGCGCAGGATCTCGGAATGACGTGGATCCTTGGCTCGTTAATCAAGTATAATTCGCTTGTTAGCGGGATTGTGGCGCCATGACTTGCATTTCTGGCGCCACGACCACGTGTTGATACGGGACACTTGGTGTGCCTTATTGAAACACTTGGTGCCTTATTGGGACACTTGGTGCCTTGTTATGGGACAATTGGTGCCATATTTAGGATTATGGTGTCTTACTGAAACACTTGGTGCCCTATATTGGGACGCTTGGTGCCTTATTTGGGAATACATGGCGCCTTATTCGGACACTTGGCACCGTATTTTCAGCTATCGTATATCATGGAATCGTTTTATTCATTAAAAATACACCACCGCCAACACCACCACCACCACCACGACTCAATAATGAGCGGATTCAAATCAACCAAAATTAACCCGAGCTAATCAACCCTTGAAAATGTGGTTGATTTTTCCGCCGCCGAGACTTGACGAGCCAATCAGTGGCCGTCGCGGGTGATTGGCAGTCGGCAAAACGGCGGATAACAGAAAAACGGAAAAACAGTGGAAAAGAAGACCAAAAAAACGGGAATCATGTGAAGAACAGTGGCAGGCATAAAGGTACCAGAATAACCGGGAACAGACGTACGAGCATAAACGGGAACAGACGTACGAGCATAAACGGGAACAGACGTACGAGCATAAACGGGAACAGACGTGCGAGCATAAAAGGGAACAGACGTACGGGAATAAACTGGAACTGTTGATGGAGAAGAACTTCTTAACAACATACAATAACAGAGCGAATAATAACTGAGGAACGTATATATGTAACATTTATATATGGTATGTGATTTAATTTGTATAGATATATCTAAAGGTATATAAATATGTATAACCTTCCTGGGATAAATATCTTATTAAATAACTTATTTATTAGGAACATGTCAGTTGACGGGACCCGAGATCACAATTAAGATGGGACGCGCAAACGGGACTCGCCTCCGTGCTGGAACAGAACGCCACTACATATTATCTGTTGGTCTCTTTTGCCCAACTGATTTAAAATAACCGGCAAATTATGAAATGATTATAAACGAACGGACTGTAATCTTATATAAATATTTCTCAAAGTTTGCGTGTTGTACGCCTGGCGACGCAATATATAGGGGCTGTTGGGGCGCGTATCCAGGATACTTATCGTGGTGGGATAGGGCCTGCATCTGAAAATTTATTCATAGAGGCAGAATAGTGAGGCATTGAAAGCTCATTATGAGTCTAACCTGCTATACCTGAACCTGCATTTCTTTCTCTTGAATACTAATTTGGTAAATGATAATAAAAATTGGAATCAAGAGCATTTTTCAAACCTAAATCAGAAAAAATAACAGACTCTGAGGATTTGCTTTAGGTAATTGGCAGCTGCTTCTGGGCGACTCAGACGCCTGTGGAAATTCTGAGTCATGACTCAGACTTCAGAGCAGCTTCCAGTCCCCGGAGTCTGGGTGGCGTCAGTGGCGCTTTAATTAACGGCCCGGCAACCCAACCTGATGAGGCGGAACTGACTTACTGAACTGCCACTTACTGACTTACTGAACTGCCACTTACTGACTTACTGAACTGCCACTTACTGACTTACTGACTTACTGAACTGCCACTTACTGACTGACTGAATTGCCACTTGCTGACTTACTGAACTATCACTTACTGACTTACGAACTGTCACTGGCTGACTTACTGAACTGTCACATACTGACTTACCGAACTGCAATTTACTGACTTACTGAACTGACACTTACTGACTCTGAACTACCACTTACTGACTTACTGAACTGTCACTTACTGACTGACTGAATTGCCACTTGCTGACTTACTGAACTATCACTTACTGATTTACGAACTGTCACTTGCTGACTTACTGAACTGCCACTTACTGACTTACTGAACTGTCACATACTGACTTACCGAACTGCAATTTACTGACTTACTGAACTGATACCGTACTTACTGACTTACTGAACTGCCACTTACTGACTGACTGAATTGACACTTGCTGACTTACTGAACTATCACTTACTGACTTACGAACTGTCACTTGCTGACTTACTGAACTGCCACTTACTGACTTACTGAACTGTCACATACTGACTTACCGAACTGCAATTTACTCACTTACTGAACTGACACTTACTGACTGACTGAATTGGCACTTAGCTGGGGGATCGGCTGGGGGACCGGCTTGGGGACCAATTGGGGGACTAGCTGGGGGACCGGCTTGGGGACCAGCTGGGGAACCAGCAGGGGGACCAGCTGGGGGACCGGCTGGGGGACCGGCTTGGGGACCAATTGGGAGACTAGC